CGTGGGCGCCCGCGGCCGGGACTCGAGGGGACCCCTTGAGGACGGTTGGCACCGCCAGCACCTCCCGCTCCGGGTTGCCGGGTCCGGACCCCCCAGTTTTCCTTTTAAATCGCCCTCGGAGGGCGGAAAGGACAGTGACTTAGAGGAAGGAAAAGCCTGAGACCCTTTCCGAGCAGAATGAAGGCTGCCCCGCCAGGGACGTGCGTGCTTTTGGGGCTTGAAGTGACCTGGGCGCACGTGGTGGATAAATTTGGAAGTGACAGGGAGCAGGGGCCCTGCACACGCCCGGTGTCCTGTCAGCCAGGTCTTTGCTTCCTGCGCGCTTCGCCCAGATTCTCTTACTCTGAAAATGAGTGGAAACACGCGTGTGAGCTGGTAGGAAGCAGTGCTGTCTGGGGGTGGGCGCGCGGGGCAGGCTGCGGGGAGCTTCAGGCTGGGGGGACTATTCCCCTGGAGCGCCCGCCCTTGCCACTTGGAGAGCAGTTCTGATTACAACTCACACAGTGACCTCGGAGGTGCCCGATGCGGTTTGTCCCGATTAGCTAATTAGACGGCAATGACTTGGAGAACCGAGGCGGCTTTGAGACATTCCTTCTCACATTCCAACTATGGTTTTCGTGGTGCAAGTACATATTTAGTGTAGCGTAAATAATCACATCCACCCCTCTTGGCACTGGCAGTATTTTCCTATTAAAGCCACGTGGAGGATGTGCAAGGAATTGTTTTACACGGCTCGTGGCTCTGCTGAGTCTGTCAGTGGCAGGCTTTACGAACAGTCCTAATGGGCCCTGGAGGACTTGGTTGCTTCGAACAGCTCAGGGAGAGGAGGGCTGGAAGGGGAGGCTTCAGGTGTTGTGCTGGGTGCCCAGGGAGAGGCTGCAGATCAAAGTGTACCCCTGAGTGTGTATCTGGAAATTGCTTGGACTGCTGGAGACCATCACAGCCCAGAACTTGCTCCCTCTTGGTGCTGTTAGGCACTGGTCCATGCGAATAGCACTCTTCCATTCTGTTTACCCTTTGACTCACTTTTGAGAGAAAGACAAAACAATGGGCGTCTTGGTGGAAAGGAAGCCAAGGGCTTGACTTACCTCACTAGGGAAGTTGCGCTCCCTTCTTTTTCTCAAGGCCCGATTCCCCTTTGACAGGGGAAGGTTTCAGAGTGCTTACTTTTCCCATCTGTGCTGTGGGTGTTATGATTGGTATGTTAATGCCCGGACCCAGGCAGCTACGGAACCATAATTTAATTAAAGTTGAAAAAATTGACTTTTTGAATAGTCTGGAGGACTTCAAGGTAATGATATAGCAGGATGGAAAAGTCTAAGACAGCTCAACTTAAAAGATGTCATTTTTGTCACCTCTATTAGGAATACATTTTCCCTTTTTGAAATTCACGAATCTTTGTGTATGAAATCAAATTCTATTAGTGATAGTTGTGTGATATCTAAATATCCTATAGAACTGGATTTAGGCATTTGGGTAACGAAATACTAAAGTATACTGGTTATCTAATACATGTGTTTTAGTACACTTAAATAAGAAAGATAGAGATGCTATTTAGAGAGACATAGAGTATTGCCAACATTGAAAATTCAAATTCAGAACTATTTTTATAAGATTGATTAATGTAAGCAGCAATCAGAACGCAGGTAACTTCCATATTGGCATTGCAGAAACACCCCCAGTAATTCTTGCCGTCTCATTTTATGGTGTATCCAAATTACGCAAATGTTCTCCAATGGCTGAGCACCCCGCGGGGACAGACCGTTGCTAGGACCTGGGTGCTGTGTCCCTGACCTATCTGCATATACGAGGATTTATATAAAGTACATTACACTTTCTGGTCAAAAGATTTGCAGATTTTGCTAGGTATTTCCAACTTGCTCTGAAACAGGTCACCCCGCTTTACACTTCTGCCTAAAACAGCAACATGCCGAGGCTCATGCCTGCCCTTTCTCAGCGCGCCCTATGGGAGACCCACAGCAGGCGCCTTCTGGCTTGCGAGGACTGCTTGCCCTGCAGGGGCCGCGGTCGCACCTCCTCTCCCCCAGCTCCCTGTGTTCTGTGAAGTGCATGTTTTGCCTTCTTGATGATGAAAACAGTGTATTTTAGTGGATTTGTGAGGAGGGAAAACCTGCTTTTCATCTCATCAGCTTTATTTTCGTGAAGGTCAGTCCAGTGACTGGGCACCACACCTACTGGGCCCAGGCCTTCTCTTGGTGCCAGCGATGCCTTTGTGAGTAAAACAGAAGCCAGGGCTGTGCCAAGGTCTGCGAGAGGCCTGCTTCACTGGCCGCATGCCTCCCTGTTGTTCTAAATCTCGCGTGTGGTGAATTTTAAAGTCTCAGAAATCCTATTTCTAGCCGAATATACTGTGGTTTGCCCTGAGTGCAGGTGCCGTGGATAGATTCTGACAGCTCCTGTTATCACAGAGAAGTTCTGCAGTTTTCCGTGGAGTTCACTGACTAGACGTAGTTCTTCTCTGGGGCCATCTAAAATGGTGACTTCGTGCCCGTCCCAGTTTTAGACTATTTCTGAGACTATTTCTAAGGCTGTTTTGGAGTCTGCATTTCTGGGAGAAACTTACAGCTTCATTGCTTAAAAGTACTTTGTATTAAGATAATGCAAATCCATTTCTACCTCCAAAGCTTCTTTGAAAAGTGCCGAAAAATTCTTCGAAATGCTTCGTATTCATGAAGGCAGTTTGAATGCAGATACTTCTTGCTAGCTTTTAGTTCTTTGATCAGTGAAAATTGTTCTTCCCACCTGTTTCTTCAGCCTTTAATTGTAGCCCGGCACTGGCTCAGTGTTTCTGTTTTAATTTGCATTTAATGAGCTCATTTGAAGTGTTTCTTGGTATAACCTGAACGGTTTCTCTCTGAAGTTATGTAATGCCGAAGAAAGCGGGTTCTGGGCAGGAAGCTTACTGTCTTCAGCTCAGGGAGGATCTCGGAGACAAGGGCCTGCAGGGACGAGCCTGCCTCCTGGCCTGCGCCCCGCCCTCTCACCCTACAGGTTAGCCCTGACGTGGCGCCCACAGGGTGGCGCTTGTCCCGTGGACACACAGCTGTTCTCGCCACACGCGGATGGCGGTGTTGGTTCTTCCCCAGCTGCTAGGTCAGGGGGTGCCGAGTTGGGGGCCCAGGGGGCAGCGTGTCCCTGTCACTGTGCGGAAGGGCCGTGGGGAAACATGGAGGAGACGGGATGAGTTCGCCATCTGTTTGGACCGATAAGGCAGGTGTTTGGGGCCAGGATTCTGCCTTCGCCCCGCAGAAGCGGGGTCATTGGAAAGACGTGACTGTGTGACCACGCACACCCCGCTGTGACCTTTCGTGTTTCTCCTGCTGTCCCTGAGCTTCGGCTGCCCTTCGCCCCAGCGTGTGCCCGGAGGCCGTTGTTTCTCCTCTGAGCGCCGTCACGGCGGCTCTCGCTTGAGTCTCATTGCCACTGTGTGCCAGTTTCTCATGGGGAACAGGAGCTCCTCCTTCAGGCCACCTGGCCAGGTCCTTGCTCAGAGAGGGACAGCCCTGGGTCTGGCCTCTGCGTCCAGGGCTCCACTGGAGAGGGCAGCTGTGGAGCCGGGGCCAGTGTGCCCTGAAGTACCTGCATCTGCTCCGCAGCATGTGGCGCCCGGCACGAGGGTTGCGCCTTTCGTTCGTGCACTGAGTGGGAGGACTGTGCTGCAGGGGCTGGCGCTTCTGAGCGGCTCGCCCCGGACCGAGACGGGGCTTCCTCTCAGTGCCCAGAGACTGCGGTGTCCACCCAGCTCCTGCAGCTCCTGCATGGATGTTCAGGCTTTGTAGAGTACCGACGGCTTCGTGATGATTTCAGTTTTGTTGTAAGACTTAACTAGAGTCTCCCTGTCCTCAGTTAGCACCAGTACCCTTAACACTGGAGAGAAAGCCACTGTGTACGGGAGACAGCGGTCCCCTCCAGCCCTCCCCCCCACTTATCAGATTGGGGGAAAATGAGAGCTTAGGGGACAGATACTGGAGTTCTGTTGAGGCAGTTTTCTTTTTATGTGACTGGTGGCTACGCCAGTCTTAGCTGCTATTAACTGTCGGTGAGGGTTCCGTGTGTAAAGAAGCTGGCCAGAGGTGAGGCTGTGTGCTGCAGCGCGGCTCCTGAAGCGTGGTGTGCAGAGCAGGCCCCCTCTTCGGGCACGGGTGCCCACGGTGTAGGCAGCGGGCGACAGGATGCATGCCGGCCACATTGTGTTCTGGGGGCGCCTCGGTGTGGCATCCGCCTGCGTGTCCCCAGTTGTCAGCCCTTTTTGTTTGCTTTCCTGGTTTCTTTGCCTTTCTTTGAAGCTGGATTTTAGCATTTCACTCTGCACTGGCAGGAGCAGCTGCCTTCTGGGCACTGAAGAGGTGAGCTCTTCCTTTGCCGGCCCCACCAGGCGCGGGCTGTTGGTGTGTCTCTGAGGTCTGGATGGAACAATGGACCCCACAGGCTGCAGCCCCCGGTGTCTCTACAGGGAAATGCACTGTGGCACCAGCCTCTTGCCTGCGCTCCCCGGGGAATCCCGTCTGACTACACCCTTTCTTTCCTGGAGCCAGAGGTTTTGGGGAGCGATGAATTGTGGGTTGGCTTGAGGACAGAGCCCGAGTCAGGCGCCCCTCC